TTAGCCCTGCTCTGTCGGCGTTGTGCTCCCCACACTCCCCCCGCCCCCCATAGCCCTGCTCTCCTGTAACTGTCCATCCCCTTACTATCCTATATAGCTCTGCTCCCCCCTCCATAGCCCTGTTCTGTGCGGCTCTGCACCCCTACCCCACGCTTCCTCCTTGCCGTGCCCTGCTTTCCCTCCCGCTGTGCCCTTTCGTCGCTGTTCACCCGTTACTGGGCTCTTGTTTTCCCTATGGCTCTGCACCAGCTGCCCCTTTCTTCCTCCCTCCCCGTGCCGTAGCTTTACACCCTCTGCCATGCCATGCCCTGCTCCCCCGCCATGGCTGCGCAACTCTGGCTCTCCCTTACCGTATCTGCTGTGCCTTGCACACCTCTCCCATGGCTCTGTTCTCCCTCTTCCCGCCCCCAACCCTGCCTCACTGCACCCCGTTTTAGCTCTGTACCCCCACTTCCATGCGCTTCCTTGTAGTTTCTCCTCCGGGGCGCCTTCTGCAACATCTCCCTGCTCCCTCCCCGGGAAGAATAGCCGTCTGTTGGGAGAAAACTTGCCATATGCGGGTCCTCTCCCAGGTCCGCTGCCTCTGGAAAAAGGACGTGGTCCTAATACTGGTCCCCTTCCCCCACCTACCCTCCATGGCCAAGAGCCCAGATGCTTCCTTGCACCCTTTTCACTGAGTGTTGTTGCCCTCATGCACATCTCTGCTTTCTTATTTCGTAGCTTAGTTTTTGTTTCTTCCTCTTCCCCCCTTTGCTCTCCTTTGCCCTTACCAACTCTTTTTTTTGTTTGTTTGTTTTTTTCTCCTAGAGTGGTGCTGCCGAAAAGGCACAATCAGGAGCTCCACCCAGTGCTCCAGTTTGCAGCTCTGCTTCCCATTTTAACTTTCCTTTTGAACAACACAACTAGGACGGTATTGTTCTTTGCTTAGCTCCTTTCTGGAAGCACTCGGTGGAACGGTCATGACTAACGCTATGGCTGTTCCTTGCTTGCTTGTAAATGTTAGTTTCCTTTGGCTGTATGGTGGCTGAATCCGGTTTCCAGCAGAGTGCTTATGCAGGAAAGTCCATCTCTGCTGTCCCAGATGACTCATCACAGAGATGAGTTTGTGTAGCTTATCGTTCTGGCAGGCTTTTTTTTTTTTCCCCTTATTATTAAAAGGGTTCTGTCCTTCCAGTGCAAAACACTGCAGAGAGCTGTCCAGTCACAACAGGGAATATCCTTTGCATATGGCAAATTTTGCTGCAAAGGGGAAGGGAATGATCTGTATATGATATGCAGAAATGGTTTTGAATTTCAGAAAGAGATCTGTGCCAAATGTTAGGGAAGAATTACAAAATTCTTAGGTTGGTGAAGCACTGCAGTAGACTGCCGGGGAGAGACTGTGGAGTCTGTATTGCTTGAGATTTGCTAAGGCACATGTTGGACTAACATCTGTCAAGAATGGCTTAAATAGAACTGATACAGACTTGCAGCACTGAGAGTTAAGTTGGTGGTATTTTTAGGTCTTTTTCAGCCTTATTTTCTGTAACTGTGCAAATTGCTTTTTGTAATAGCCACTTTGTAGCTGTTTTTTATAAACTTGCATTACTGTTCCCTGTTTTTTTTTTAAATAAAAAACAGCCTCATCTCTGGATAGTGTTAGACCGACAGCAGAAGAAATAGAGGATTAGATATTTTCAATATTTGACTTGTTCACAGGTTTCAACTAACTGATTCTGTTTTTCAGTGTTACTTACGTTCCCCTGTCATTGCTTGTGATGTTAATAGCATACTGCTGAATCTTTGATCTGGCTTCCTTATGTGTGGCAGGATATGGGATAGTAATTGAGCTTAGTATCCCCTATATATAAGTGAAGTATAAAGAATGGTTTGTTACCTAATTCCTTAACCACAAGCAATTGTGTATCTCTTGAGAAAATTCAAATCAAAGACTAGCTGCCAAATATTTTGTCAGCAACAATTTTGTCTAGTGTATTGACTGGAAGAACCTTGTGACCAAACAGTACAGCATTACGTTAGAGCCTAATGTTTCTCTTCTCCTCACTTTATCATGAACAGTAGATGTTGGCTCACTCATTACCTTTGCCTTATACTATCACCCTGCATCATTCCCTCTTAAGCTTTACTTGAGCAGTGTTTCATCAGACCTTCTATGTTGCCTCACTTGCTGCTGCTTATTTATCCTAATTTGGCTGACAAGTTCAAACTTCAAGATGGAGGAGTTAAGAGAGCGCAAGCACAAAAAGCTTGATGAATGCCAGGCTTTGACACACAGTCTCTCCTCGTATCATGACTCCTCACACTCATTCCTTATAATTCTGTTTTCCAAGGTGATTTCTCATTTAGTTTATTATTCAACTCTCTTGCCTGCTTGCTACTCATCTGCTAAACCCCATTTCTGTTTCTGAGAGCTGTGGTTGCTTCTGCGTTGACTTTGCTAGCCATCTCCATATGTGTTCACTGCATTTCCAAGTCCATTTCTCATTACTGCCACCTCATCTTATTTATGATAATGGACCTACCTGTGACTAGTTATTGAATCAGGTAAATTTCTCTCATGTCTGCCTCCAAACTCTTATTTCATACTCAGTTGTCCTTTTCTTTTTCTCCCTGCCCCCCAAGGCATTTCTCGGTTCCTTTGTTTTGCAGGCTGTCTACGGTTTTGTCTTAAGCTCTCTCGCTATTTCTTTCCCTGCAGAATCTGAAGGTTTTCAGGGACAGAACTGACTAAAGTCAGCATATTTACCTTTTCTCAGCACTCTTGCCTACTATTTACAGTGGGAGATTTTGCTGTTTGCTGCCTTTAACTGCTCGGCCTGTGCCTAAAGTCCCATTCGTTATATATATATTTTTTACTCCCTGTATGCCTTTTTAGCTTCTTGCTGCCATCTTTTTCCTTTCCCAGTTTTATTCTGACTTAAATCCTTAAAACTGACAGTCAGCCCTAGTCTGCTTTCCTCCTTTTCCAGGCTTGTGCAACAGGAAATTTACCTCTGTTGTCATACATTTTCTCTTCTTTTTCCGTATTCCCTCCCGTTCTCTTCCTGTACTTTGCTGAAATGGCCTGTGTTAAGCTCTCTACAGGCTTTTTTTGGCCAACTTGCAAGGTTTCCACTCCTTTCTTACCCTTCTTGACCTCTGTTGCTTTTGGTGCTGTCAGTAATCCTCTGCATCTTGATATCTTATTCTCACTGGGTTTCTGTAATGCTGTCCTCTCGTTATTCTTCATTGCCTTCTGTTTTCTGATTATTGTTTCTTCTCTACTGCTGTCTGTGCTTGTACTTTTAGGGTGTTTTTTCTTTCATTAACTTTGTAATTTTTTTCCTATTCTGCCAAATTCTTCTTGGACTGTATTAGTTATGTTAATTTAAACTCAGTACAACCATACCAGGCTGTCTTACTTTCAAGTGTACTCATTCTTTGCTATTTTTCTACTGTCATTTTACCTGTTGAGAAGTAGACCTTAAAATACTTTCTCTTGTAGTAGGTTAGTGTGGATTCCTTCCTCCCTCCCTTCCTGCTCTTCCATAGTTGAATCCTGTGACAGAACTCTCAGAGCTGTTGATGTTATAGAAAGCAAAGCAAATTATTGAGTTCTTATTGTTTGTGCTGGAAATGAGAAAGCTTGTGATATACCTTGTTATCTAAAATATTTATGATAGGAGCTAGAAATCTTCTTCGAAATTTGATCTATGAATGAGATGCCACAAATCTTATTCTTGACGGTTTTAGTGGTTTACAACACTAAAAGAATCTCCTATTATAAAAGGAGATGAAAACAAACTGTGCAAAAACTTTACCGCAAACACCTGCTGTTAAAGAAGGGCAATAAATCTGCCTTTCCTAACCTTCTAAAAATGTTCATGCTTCTGATGAAATTCAAGTCTCTTGTGACAGTATATCTCATTACTAACTTCAGCTTTAGCTTCAATTGTCACATGTTCTTGCAGTCAAATGTCTGAATACAAGGTCTCAAACCATACCCATTTCACTGTGGGCATGGTATGTTCAAGGCAGATGGCTGGTTGACTAGTAGTGTTGATAAGCAGAAACAGAATTAGTTGTGAACTCTGCTTGCAAGAGCTAGAAAGCTTAATTTCCCTTTCAGTGCTTTAACAGTAGATGAAGCTTCCATTCTAGTCTCTGGCAAGTAATCCTAGTATAAAGGATGAAGCATACAAGCAGGCTCCAAGAACAGTATTAATGAGTCAAGCGTCTCACTGAGTTACTCTACAATTTTTTTTGGTGCTTGTGGTCTGTGAGCTCCATTCTCTTCCTGCTAAGTGCCAAGTATGCTTTTTAAAAATGCTGTTACAAGCAACTGCACAACCTGTGCAAATAATTCCTTTTGATCTTAGGGCAGAAGAGGTATTTTAACTTGTATTAAACTTTTTAAGAGGTATTTTTAAGAGGTATTTTAAACTTTTTAAGAGGTATTTTAACTTGTATTTTAACTTTTACTTGTATTTTTTTTCCTTTTTTTTTTTTTCAAATTCATTGCAATTTTCCCCATTGAGCTCTAGCTACTTCTGAAGTGTAGACTATCTTTCAGTTATGTATCGGGTCTTAAAAGCTCGAAGTAACAGTATTTTCTTTTCTTTCTTAGATAATTCAAAAAGTGACTTTTTTAGCACTTCAGAAACAAAAGTGTGGGTTAAGGATATAGTACTCCATGCTTTTTCTTACCAGAAGATTTTTTTGTAAAGTGAGAATATTAAAAAAAGAAAAAGCAAAATCATCTTACATCATTAAGAGTGCATGTTGGATTAAAAGTTTATGCTATTGTAATCTAACTGGTATCTAAAATGTTGTCAGTCATAGAGCAAGTATCATGAAACTGACCACTTTTTCATGATGAAGAAATGATACTTTTTTGTGATGTAGTGAAGCTCTTCATGTTGTTGTTTATTCTAAAGGTGAGCTTTATACAAACTGCTGCTGTACATGTGTTTTTCTCCTTTAGACTAATTGTGATTTTTTTTTTCCCCTCGGAGTTGCTTCAGTTGTCTCTTTTGTGACCCTTAGAACTTGCAAACCAACTCAATAGAAACTGTATCTTTGTTATTTTGTGTTTGAATCTTTCTCACTTGAAGAAGCTGGTAGGAAATCCTTTGTACTTCTTATGCTTTAGGGCTAAAGTCAAGTTATGCAGAGTGTTGCAAAGTGAACTCTACCCACTGGCTAAACTGATTGCTAGTTGATACCTCTGTTTGATGAAACAGTACACAGAGCTCTTTCGTGTGTACGTTTATGGAACAGTTGTGTTGGTGAATATATGAGAGTTCTTCTAGGTCTTACAGTGACTTTAAACTTTCATAGATTTAAGGAGTAAACAATAATCATTACATCTGATGGCTTATCTTCAGTCTTCCACCCTTCTGCATCTTCCAAGTTTTTAATGTAGAGTAGAAGTGTACAGAAGTATGGAGACAGCCTTAAGAGCGCTTGTATACATGCTGAAGAAGGAAAAAAAAAAGAGAAAAAAATCAAAATCTTTCATTTTGAAGTTCAGCTTTAAAGATCATATTGCTAGGGATGTCAAGGCAGATAGAATGAAGTTAGTGATGTCTGATGACTTGTCTTCATAAATGTGTTGTACTTGAGCAGGCCTATGTTTACCACAAGTAAGAATTTAGGCCCTGAGTTTACTTTTTCAATTGAAATTATTGCTCTTACTGCTTTCCAGATAACATTGTTTTACTGAGGAAGAGAACTCTGAATATCACTTTCAGATCTGTAGAAGCAAATCAAGAGACCTACTAAAATATTTTGTTCAAGGTCATGATAATCTTGTCAAATATTTTGTTCAAGGTCCTCTGCCAGACCCCCCTTATTTTATTAGGAAGAAGTGTAAAATGATTGCCTGCTTCTAAAGAATTATGTTTACGTAATAAGCTAAGGGTTTGTTAA